TTCAGTTAAGACCAGCCAACCAAATCCATTTCTAACACCACGACAGGTCAAGATCAGAGTTATCAATTAACAAGAGCACTAGTGGGAAGCCCCTCTTTGAGGGGTCAAGTGCTCTCTGTGAAGAATACACAGTGCATTAAAATGATTAATGCTACTTACTACTTAATGGAAAATTATCAAATCATATTAAATCATTATGGGACTGCAACAAGTAAGTTCTGTAAAGGTATTTAATATTAGAGTGAATGGTTGAAGCTTTATGCTACAGTGATAAATAGACCTTGGAAATGCTATTTGTTTTTGAATTTTATTTTTTATTTATTCCATCATGTGCTTTCACAGGATAGTCCAAACTGCATTATAATAAAAGTATTGAATATTTTTATTTTGGTTTGAAAATAGCCTAATATCTGATTAAAAACAGATCATCATTACTCAGGTCACTTTATTCTGCAGTTCAATTAACATACAGTAACAGGTAATAAAGAACATTCATCACATTTTTCTTCACAGAGGTCACGTGACCCCTCAGCCTACAGCTCCCTTGTATGTTTTCCAGACATTTTCAAAACATCCCAATTTGCTAAAGTCAATGTAGCAGATTATTTTTTTTAGACATTGGGATCTGTTGAAGTGGACACTTGGACTGCTGCAGCTGATGTACTCAAATCCTTATTGCATGACACTGCTGCTGTAAGCCTAAAAATGAAAAAAACACATGGCATGAGAGGTTTAGGATAATGAAATTAGGAGTAGCTGGGCGGCATGGATCAACTGGCTTCTCTTGTTTGTGATCTTTCGTGTTTTCGTTACTGCCCACACCACACTGTATACTTTAGTAACACAGAGATATTGATTCTGAAGACACATACATTGTTAAACTAAGCATTAATAAAACCATAGAAATAATAAAAAGAATAATGGGGGCCTTTAATCTGCAACTGTGTACCACAAACCCATGCACCTGTTGGAGCAGTGAACCAGTCAGTTTGCAGATAGCACCCCTAGTCTGGTAGGGAACCCAGGGGCCCAGCACTGTGAGAGTCCACTGGGCGGCCGTTCTGTCTCACTCCTGATTGCCCATTTCGACAAAGATCACCAGGAAAACCAGTAGGTTTTAAAGACAGCCTTCAGTTGTTTTCAGTTTACAGAGTAACTCTTTCAAATGATATTCATGATTATCCTTTACCCTCAGCTAGTTTCAGCAGTAGGTTCTCTCTCTTTGCTTACAGTACCACTCCCATCTTCCTGAGAACAGGCATGCTAATTACAGTCAAAGGTAGTTAAAAATAGTGTCTGCATGCTCTGTTGCAGCTCAGGATGAAGCAATTAGAGCTTGCATTCTAATTGCTTTTGAAAATTGTTTTTTTCTTTAAATAAACAACTATACTCTTCATATTTCAGTTTTTCAAGCTCCTAGGAGGAAAAGATTCAAATAGGTAAAAGACCTTTTTCCGAAGACGATTTAGAGATTCACTGTGTCGGAAAAAAGTAAGTATATGAACATGAAGTCAACATGCAGCTACTGTAGGCATTAAAAATGAGAAAAACATGGATTTATTTTTTTCTGAGTATTTTTCTCATTCAGTAAGTAAACCATTATGATGAATGGCTTACACAATTTCACCTGGTTAACTGAAACAAGCATTGATTTATTCATTTTGAAACCGGTTGTTCAAATGTATGAGGGGGCAATGGGAGAGAAATTTCACATTGACCTGAAAATTTGGTTACATTTGTATCACATCCTGCATACATCCCTCTATTTCAGTGTCACATTCTATAATACATTTTGTCTTTTCAGGAAAAAGAAATGTCTTTTGCTTCTAAATTTGACAAACACATAATCACATGAACACATAATTTACAAATGGTTTAAAGTTGTCATCCATAATCTAAGTTTATGTAAATCATTAGGAGATCATGATAAATTCCTTTTATAAGCCCTTTACATTACACGTATAAAGCATCCTTGAAAAAGTTATTTGCTGTTTAAAGTAATTTTTCATTCATACTACAGTATATATTATTCTAATGAGTAAATCATTCTACAGTACACTGTAATGTAGAAAATATTGAATATTTCAGGTTGGGAATAGCCTAATAGTTTTTTTTTAAATATTATTGTAACTCAGATCACTTTAATTTGGTGCTAAAACAACACAGCAGGTAGTAAGTAGCATTAATCATTTTAATGTATTGTATTCAAACAGCTGACTGAACTCAGAATATACTGGGCTGTTCTATATCCGCATTAAAGCTGCCAGTTTTTGTTTTCATTGTAGACATTGCAGAATGCCTGTGGGTGGCAATTGGTGTGAAGGATTTTGCTTCTAGTATTCCAGTGAAGAAATAAAAAAAAAACACATGAGAATCAATTAAGATCTTTTTAAAACCCACGTAGTCACGGTTATTTCATGGTGTTATTGTGAACGGTTAATTACTGACTTCTGGAACACAGTGAGTGTGGGTATCTGCTGTGGCTCCTTCTTTTCTTGCTATGAAATGTTTTTCCCTTTATTTTAAACATGCGTGAGATGAGCATTACTGTGATGCATTTTACAGCAGTAAGTTCCACTTTGTTGTTTTTTAGAGGGAGACAGAAATCTCAGTTCTGCCTATGAGCTGTGTGGATTTATGCAAGTCTCTTAATGCAAATGCATCACATCCCTGTTCCGCCTTTGTTTTCAACTAGAGCAAAAAGCAAGACTTGTTTTAAAGGCTTTTTTTTTAACTGAGGGACTGCACTGTTAAAGGTATTCAGAGTCAAAGCAACGGAGTTCAAAGGTCAGATTTTAATCTGGGCTACCCCATTAGGATTCATACTCTTCCAGAGTTTTTGCTGCTTGCCTTAGTACGTGTACCTGTGTTACTCATTGCTGCCATTGGAGCTGTAGATCTGGTGTTTGAAACACGCTGTCGTGTGTTCTCATCAACTTGTAACTTGGTAGTAAACAGAAATGATTGCTAAAAAGAAAAGGAAATCCCAATTTAATTATTTTAAAATATTATAATCGGATCATACTGGTAATGGAATGGGGGACCTCGGACAGCCTGGTTATTGCTGTGATTAGTGTTGGTGGACCAGTAGGTGGCGCTGTTCCCTCTTTGCCAGAGTTTCCAAACCAACTCCCCAGTATGGTGTCTGGGCAAGCTGTGCTATAGGAGGTGCCCTTTGGATGAGATGCTGAAGAAGACATTATATGGTTTGGTAAAAATGCGCATCATCCCTGCCAAACCTTCAGGATGGACATCAGTCTCTGCTGAGTATTTTTTCTGGCATCCTTTTCAGGACAGGTGCCAGAGCCACTGTGCTCTGTTTATATTAATGCATGAGAGTCTGGGTTTCTCCGAGGTCAGAGTGGGGAGCAATGCCTCGTCTCAGTTTAAAAGGAGGTGTGCTTCTGAAATTACAGGGTAACTGGTATTTTATGATTATGAATTCACAGGGATTTTGTAGATACCTTATTAAGACCTCAGGAGAGATGCAGGTCAAAAGGCTTTATACTCTACGGTTTACAGAATTATTCATCCGTCCCTGATAAAAAAATAACATTTCCGTGTTCAGTTCGGGGTCTTCCGCAATAAAAGCCGGTGTGCTCTGACGGGGCTGACCTCTTGACCTAGTGTTTAATGAGCGACGAGCCCAGTAGCTCCGAAACCTTCTGAAAACAAAATCCATCCTGTCGCTTCAGCTCCGCTTCGCGCAACAGGAACGGTGTCCGCGCTGCCTAGCAACGGCATTAATGAACTCGGTTGCTGCGCCGCTTGTGCTCTGTGTGTGACACGGGGCTCAGTGCTTGATCCCTGCTCCTGCAGGGCTGCAGGATGCCAAGATGAGCCTTCGTGTGCACCCGAGGACACTGCAATCTTCCACTCTTGTAAAACGTTATTTTCTTTCTCCAGTAATCCCCCGGTGCTTGGGCGAACTGGAGCATTGCACTGTAGACTGTCCAGGAGATAATCCAGTCATCACTTGAGCACACAGTGACGCTCACGGGACATATTAAAATTTGAACAGATCGATACCCTGGTTACTTCTTGTTGCTGATAGCACTGTTTCCATCTGTAAGCAAAGGTTTATCAAGAAACAGTACTTCCATCCATCCCCCCTTTTTCTGCCTGTTTCTTCCAAGGGGGAAGGGGTAGCTGTGGCCTATCCTGGCAACTATAGACATACGTGATGTGTCTAAAAGAGAAGTGTACCTCAACACCATTGAAGGGATAGAAATATGACACCCGTCCATGGCACTTGAAACTATTTATTTGGAAGCTATCTATCATCATCTTGTGGTTCAACAGTGGTGCCGACACCATTGGATATAGTTGAAGTTTTAGTAAACATTGAGAGTATTTTTTTTTGGTTTAATGTTTATTTAGTCTGTGCTACAGTATATTGGATTTGCCTGGATATCTGTTTATATTTCGGGGTCATATCCATCAGGTGCCTGGTGGGTTTGGATATGTTATACCCTGGAGAGCTGATCCCCATTGAATCATCAGCTTATAAAGATGTGGAGCAAATATTTAATATACAGTATATGCAATGGATTGCTTTCAGTTTAAGTCAAGAAGAGATAAGTTTGTATAAGAGTCTGAAAGCTCTCAGCATTCTGAGGTCAGGACTGGACATCTCTTTGGTAGTCAAGTCACTAAGTTTAATAGTTGAATCATTTCCAATATTCATGTAAAGCCCCACAACATTAATATGTTTATAGTTATATTACAGCTACTTATAAATGAGAATGATTTAGCACAGAACTGCAGAAAAACAATGTAGTTTTGTATCAGACTATTTAAAATTAAGTACAGCATTTCAGTAATTTAGTACTGTGTTACATTTTATTTACAATTGGATTATCTAGAAGGATATTGTAGTATTATATGTGGTGCTAGAAGTGAGTTGCGCTGCCCTCCCAGGTGTGCGGGGTGAAAAGAGGCTGGCAGCTCAGCGAGGCTGTCTCTCTCCCTCTCACGGCCTTCTCCATGTCCTTCTCCAGACCGCAAGTTCCTCATCGCAAACGCCCAGATGAAGAACTGCGCCATCATCTACTGCAACGAGGGCTTCTGCCAGATGTTTGGCTTCTCTCGGGCAGAGATCATGCAGCAGCCCTGCACCTGCCAGTTCCTGGTGGGGCCCGGCACCATGAAGAGCGCCCTGGCTCAGCTGGCACAGGCCCTGCTGGGCTCTGAGGAGAGGAAGGTGGAGATCCTGTACTATGCCAAGGAGGGTAAGCGAGGCCAGTTTTATCAGTTTTCTCTGGTGTGACACTTTATTGTAAGTATCACCTCTTAGGCATGTTGAAGGCATGTGTTTGGCATTTATTCTGACTTCTTGGCTCTTAACAAATCGTGAACTCTCATGTGCAATGATTAGGGATATATTAGCCTATCATTTAGCACTCACTAGCTCTTAAAGGATGATATACTACATGACTGAGAAAAAATAAATAAGAACATTGTAACACTTTATTTTAAGCACTACTCATTAGGCCATGTGTTGGTGATTTGTTTTTGACATGGTGTTGAATAAGTCTAAGTAACTATCCTTTCCCCTTGCACAGTTAGTTCCTGGTGACTAAAATAATGCCATTGATTTGGGTATCATGTAATTCCCTTAAATAATACACTTTAATTTGCTTTTAAAGCATAATAATTTTAGAGAGATATGCAGTAGAAAAATACCATTAAAAAGATGATAGATTAATAAAATAAACAGAAGAATAAGAGCAATCCCTTTATCTCACTAGCGATCTTTTGCATATGATAAACGAAAACAGCAGTACTCAGCCCTGGCCTTGGGGAACCTTGTATCTTCTGCTTTTTGTTTTCAACTAAGTTCTAAATTACTGAGCTAAATGATCTATGGCTGTTTTTTTTTAAAGTTGGATAGGTTTGTTAATTAATATCAAATTATGGACCAGTTTCTGAGATTCACTCATACTGTACATTCATTTAGGTGTGTGACATGGAAGTAACTGGACATCTGGACTACAAAGTCATTTCTTTTTGGTGGGGATGTCTCATGCAGTGTCTTTCTGACATATGTATAGATGTCATTAAATGGTCACCTAACTGAGAGTTGTTTAGTCGCAAATAAGACACAACCCACCTGAAAAGCATGTAGAGTAGAGAATTGCTTGAAATCCATACATTTTCTTCCAGGGGAACCAAAGCCTATCCCAGCAGGCAATGGACACAAGGCAGTGTACACCCTGGCCAGGACACCAGTCCATCCCAGGGCACAGCACACAAGCCAACACAGAAACTCACAGCAGGGCCAATTTTCCCAGAAACCAATTAACTTAACAGCATGTCTTTTGGTTGTGAGAGGAATCTGGAACACCCAGGGGAAACCCACACTAATACACGCAATATGCAGATAACACCCCAGATCTGGAATTGAATCCAGAGCCCCAGCACTGTGAGGCAGCAATGTTAACCACTGCACTGCTTGACATTCTGTTTGCTAAGTGCCTTTGCAGTTGCACATCTGTAGCGGAGTAGATTTAAAACCAAAGACTTTGTGCAGGAGCAGGTTAGAAGGATGTGTCTTTCAATTGAAAGGACCAGTTGGCCTCTGTGACTGAAAGCTCAGCTGGAACAAAATCAGCAAATTCCTGATTTTTGAGTCCTTCAAAATCAGGTTTGAGAACCCATGATCTAAAGTCACTGTAACACGGGACCCCATTTATCCTTGAGTAACGTAGAGAATCAGATTCCATGATTTACCGCTGGCATCTGCCTTGAAGCATGTTTTTGTGTTTGTACATTCACCATTTTCCAGTTTTGTCCCAATAGTTTTGTTGAATCTACGGTGTTTGAAACAAAAGAAGGCTTAACTTTGCTCATTTCCAGATCGAGTCCATAAATATCTGTGCTAAAAAAAACAATCATCCTTCTTCCTGAGGCCTTATGGCATGTGAGAAGACAATAGTGTATTAAATGACTTCATACAAATTGGAGATTTGAGCTGAAATGTCTTATCAATGTATTTCAATGTTAATACTGACACACAGGTTTCACTGCAGAAGTAGCAGAGTAAAGTCCTGTAAAGGCCAGTGAAATTGTTGAAATGCAGGAAAGTGAAAACTCAAATGAGATTTAAACTGGGAAACCATGACAGAGCATCACGCTGTACAGCAGTGTGACAGAGTGGGCTGCTGGTCACGACAGCTGGGCTCTTGTGGCTTGTCCTCTAGTGAGGACTTTTCACATAATGGAGGTGGTGTCACACTGCTACAGAGGAAAGTTTATCAGAGTGTAGAACTGAAAAAACAATTCAAGTTCAGTCACAGTCAATCATGGTCACTCACAAGCTCAGAGCAGACACGCTGGCACTCCCTAGATAGATAGCGGCAAAGTCTGCGGACCACCATAACACTGGTCTTGTCTCGGGAGAATTTTACACAGTCTATGTTTGAAGGGAGGGCGATGTCACTATAGTAGCATGCCATGAAGATTTTACTGAAGAACATCCAAATGTTGCATTTGGAGTTTCTTAATGTTTTTGTTATATATTTCTGCTTATGTATTCGACTGGCCCATTTCAGGATTCCTATGAACAGGAACAGGAGGTTGACTTTTGAATAAAAAAAACAAGTTCCCCGTGTGTTTGTTATTTTTTAGCTCCCTTCATGTCCTGTTGCACACTTCAGCCATGAAAATGTATCTGAATTTAGAAGAGATAAACTAAACCTTGCTTAAAGCCACCTTGTTTATAAAGTCAGTTTGATTTGCATGCAACCATTGTAGGATCCAATAAAATGAAATATGCATTAGGCCCATGGATAATGTAGTGCGGGTTTATTTATTGAGCAGGCAGGTGTCTTCATAGGAAAACTCATTATGGGCACTCCATCATCGTGAATTCATGAATGCTTTAACAATAACAAAACCATTGGATGTAGTCCATGATTGACAGCATTTTAATAAGCTGCATTTTTCCAAGTGATAAATCAATTAGGCAACAATTTTCTTCCTTCCAGTCTGATTGATTTCGCAGTGGGAGGAAAGATAAAGTTCTCTAGAGTCCTGTCCATTGCAGACAGCTCCAGCTCGCACGGCTCCGTAGTTACACTTCTAGAAATAATTTGGTAGCCCTATTCTTTCTATTCTATGGTTAGCAGAAGAGAATGCAAACTTCATGATCATCATTTTGCCACATGTCAGAAGGGCCTCTTTGACATAAGCTCGTTTAAGATTTCAGTGGTGCATTGAAGTCAACTGTAAGATACAGTACATGCATGACTAACAGCCTAGTTGCTTGGCCTCCTGGCCAGCCACTGGGGTCACTGCTGTGTGGTGAACCAAGGGTATCCAGCTGATTTAGTCCACCCACAGCTGGCAGTTTAGGGAATCCGGATCACAGCTGGGTCAAGACACAGTTCAGATTCTACCCAGCTGTTCCTGGACTGTTGGGTCTAACTGTTGTCGATTAGGCAACCTTGAGAGCCAACAGTGTGTTCATTTCACAACTGGTCTGTTGGCCAGGGCTCTGCTTTTCAATCCTCACGATACAAGTGTCAGATGGTTTGTGTTTCAGCTGACCTCTTAAGTTAAAAGCTGTGGCTTTATGGATGTGAAATACAATCAAAATACATAAAAGACTATTATTTTTTCAATTAAGTGTGCAGAAACTCAACGGGAATTAAAATCAGAAAACACTGCAGCCAGGGGGATTAGGTAGATCCTTCCCTTTGCTGCCACATGTCCTGCAGGATTATTTTGTTTTGTAGTTAGATTTATCATGCTAATGACTCTTGAATTAACCTCTAACGTCTAAATACAAGGAAATGAGATGCACAGTTAATATTGCAGTCTGTGCAACTGCAGAATAATTCAGTGGGACTTAAATGACTGATTGCAAAACTAATGTAGAGGCCAGCAGCCAGACCCTCTGTGGCGTTTTTTTGTAAAGTGTGCAGCAGAGTTAAAGCAGTGGGAATCATAGTTGTTTCTGACAAACCTAAACTTTATTAATCAAGCCTTGATTGGTCAGAACATCTCGTTGTGATTTTTATGGGATAACAACAGGGATAGTTCTATACTGCGGCTGTCTGAGTCTTGTTGTGATTAGGATGATTTAATTAGGACCTATGAAGTGGTGCCATTAGTTATGCCACATGATTTCTCTGGAAATGTCTTCTAAGAGGAGGACAATGGCACGGGGCTGTGGTTACACTATTTAAGAATCTAGGGGTTTTTAGCTGTTCTGCGTGCTCATTAAGCATGTAGTTCTGAGAACATTTCAATATAGGATATGAGGTCTATATGTGGGAACCATTTCCTGAAGAAATGGGGGGAAAACCTTGGCAGAAATCCTAAGATTGTTATGCTGTGTTCTGAGAAGCACGTGTTTAAAATGACAGAATTGCCTTTTGTGTCTGAAGCATGAAATCCTTATGGCAACAGTGCTGCCTGCTACAGACCTTTTACTTTGACATTTATCTATATTTTCCAATAATTTCATGTTTTGAAATGGGTGACACCCGAAGAAGGCTCCACTGCCGAAACGTTGTGTTTTCTTTCTTCTCTTTTCAGAATTGAATAAACCTATTACTTGTTCCTTTGCAGGAAAATGATTAGTTTGATTGATGGCTTAAATAAATGTTCAAAAGCTGAGTTGGAAGAGGCTGTGAGACATTGTGACTCCACAGTGCTGGAGTTGTGACACCACATTTATCTACAGTAACTTGATCTTATCAGCATTTCTGTTTTTAAAGAGAAGATATTTATTTTCACAGATGGGAAAACTGAAAAATTCATGTGTTTTCCTGTGCACATAGTTTAATTATTCTGGGCAGTTTGCTTTGTAACTGTGAATAACCCCTCTTTTAACCTCTTCAAATGCCCCAGGACTGATATGATAGCAGTTGAGGGTATGTCTTCTATTTGTCTCATTATGCTCCAGTAGTGTTTGCAATTAAAACCTGCAAATACTTTAGTTTTAACGAAAATTAAGGATTTAAAATTGCAAATCCGATGAAATAGAAACCAATAATAAGTACAGTCAGAACTTTTCACTGTTGATTGTGAGTTTCATTGATGCTGTTGAAGGCTAATCGGAATTGAATTAATTTCTGGTTATAAATGAACATGTCCAGTGGAGAGACAAATCTCCACATTTTAATGTAGCTTTTCACAAGGGGAGATTCCCCAGACAGCATAGGCTGTGACCACAGGCTGATATCATAATGGAAATGTCATTAGTTTCCCAATTCCCAGCACA